CCCCCCCCCCCCCCCCACCTTAAATTATGCTGCAAGAATTTTTTTTTTTATAAAATTGCAGTTTAATTTGTTTAACTTTCTTGAAACAAGAAAAAAAACAATACAAGTAGCCTATTGAGCAAACAAAATTAACAAGGAAAAAAAATAACTGCTGCTAATGCGGCTAATCATAATGCATAAAGAATATTTTATTTTAAAGTTATAGTAAGCAGGAACAACTAGCAATGGTAGCAAAAGCATTTTTTTTTCTGGGTCTTCCTCACCGCAGGAACTAGGGACTAGGGCAGTGGTTGGCAAATTGATAGCCAGAAATCTGTTTTGACTCTGAAAAACTTTGTTCTTGAAAATAAATTCGGCTCTCAAAAGAATTTTAATCGTCCTGCTGCTGATTTTTGGCTCTCTTGACTAATGAGTTTGCCAACCACTGGTGACTAGGGTAGGCCTAATAATGTTTTCTGACACAGGTGCAAAATTTTGATATCCAAGGGATGTGATTTTTTAAGGGTTTGTTACTTGTAAGAACAGTAGAGGACAAATGGATTTTTAAGGGGGGGGGGGAGATGCAGACATTTGTGATGTTGTTATATTTGAGCGGGTGCAAAAATTTAACGTGACTGTGGCCCACTAAGTAGAGATTAAGGACTAGTCTACTCACTATCTTAATCTATCTGCTTCCAATCTAACTAAAAATGAGACACTACTCACTACTAACTTAACTAACTTCACTTAACTAACTACTATAATTGACTATAATGAATAATGTCTAATGACAATGACTCTAACTCTAATGCTACATTTTTAAAATTTAATCAATAATACTTGAGACTAAGATTTAACTATAAAATTTACATTCTTTTCTTTTAATTAGAAATATTTTGATCCGGAATTTCAGAGATTGCTTTAAAAGATCTTTTCATAAAAAACATAAGTGGTCTGAGTACACTGGAGTCATCCATCACTAGTCCTCGTGTTTATATTTTTAGCATGAATCAACCGGAAGTTTACAAAATAATAGGTCAAAGCAAGGAAAAGAGAAAATGGAAAATTACGTAAAACTTGAATCAAAATTGTCGATTTAATTTTTCAAATATATAAGTTATCTTTATGTTAAAATTAAGTTTTTAGCTGTTTGCACTGTTTCCAATATAAAATTAATTAATCTATTTTTTCCCAAAGGAATTTGAGTTGGGAAAGTTTTCCTCAAATGACGTCATCAAAATGTGTGCGTTTTTAATAGTTTTTTTAGGAAACCGGCGGAAGTAAGGAAGGACTTGCATCAGAAACATGGCTGGCGAAAACGAAACGACGAACCAAAACCAGGTTCAGAACCGTCAGCCCCACTTGTCAAAACAAGATATAACAACACTTGTAAATACTTTGCATCTTATACTTTCAGTTAAAGAGTAATCTTAAGTCCTTAATTTGTATTTCCACATATGGTTGTATGCAATACTGTGTGATTCTTAGGATACTTTATAGGGAAGCGTTATTCACACAGCTCTGTGAATAACGTTTAGCGTTATCGGCAGACCGAAATCTGTGAATAACGGCGAGCGTTATCCACACAGCTCTGTGAATAATGTTTAGCGTTATCGGCAGACCGAAATCTGCGAATAATCATATAATGCATTAGATCTAGACTGGTGAAAAATTATTGTTGGATGTAGGCTATTAATATTGGGGTTGAAATGGCTAGAAAGACTTTGCAATTGTATGCTAGTAATTAGTTTTTGTAGAGTTGCGTTTGTTTTAAATGTGGTAAATTATAGATTTGTATTTTGTTGACATTGTACCGCGCTTCGAGCCTTTGGGGATGAAGCGTGTTTTTGAAATGAACTTCATTATTATTATTATTATTAATATTACTATTAGTATACTGAACCGTCATGAGTTATTATCGAATTTTTTTCACTATTAATTATAAAAAAAGGGCAAATTTATTACTAATATTAGTATGGTAATATCTGTATACCGGTAGTATAATAGTAATAGCCTATTACTATACTAAATATTATGCAGTATAAAGTATATACACAATTGTAGTATAAGTAATATACTTAGTTACTTAGCTTAATCAGTATACGCATACATGGGCGCCCGCAGAAAACTTTCGGGGGGGGGGGGATCGATTAACTTTCTGGGGGGGGGGGCAAAATTTGTTAGCAATGTTTTAATATAGTCTTAATTTACTGTAGCGTATTTGTATGGTGAACGAACGGACAGGACAGGACATCAGCTTAGTTACTTTCTCTTTATTTTCTCTTTACTTTAATACATTTTTTGTCTAAATTTTTCCAATCAATCTAAGGGGGGGGGGGGTAAGTGCCCCCCACTTGCCCCTAACTGCGGGCGCCCATGTACGCATACAAATTTATTATTGGGTGATAATTAGTGGGTCTATAATGCAGAGCGTTATTGTTAGACAGAAATGATCACATAAGTACTCACATTTCTAGATCACATTCCAAGCCGAGGTGGGGGTGTAGTTTTAAGTAGTGTAGGAGATTTGGATCTTTAAAGAATCTTTAATGAGTATGGCACAAGCACATTTCATAACCGAAGCTATGCACAAATTAAATTTTAAAAATTTAATAGGCCTAACTATAGCCTATATATTGGATATAGGACAGTTAGTTGTGCCTACATCTGCTCTGTTAGGGGCCAACACAGGGTCTATTCGACCTATAGAGTGTTACTAATAGATCCAGTCAAACCTCCTACTCCTAGACATAACTAATTTTCTGGTATTTCATATTAAATATTATACCAGTAATAAAAATTGTACCCGTACCGGTATTCTTCGTGTAGACTCACTTTCACCCATTGTAGAGAGGTCTTAAAATGATGTCAAAGCTTGATAGGGTATCGTTTAGTGTTTTAAAAGCCCTATGATATATCACCTAGTCTAGAATTGTTCTGTCAGGAATAGCCCATGCAGAGAGGTGGCTGCATCAGGTGGCCATGTGAGAGATGGGGAGGGGCATATTGGCCCTACATTGATAATAACAGAATGTAATCCTGTTAAAGTTTAAGGCTAGTATTTTTTCCTCATCCTTGAGCGTGTCCCTTAGTCTACCCAGCTCTGGCATTAGCTGGTCAAAAGTAAAGCTGGCTGGTTATTGCGCTGGCCATACACTCAAACTTGTAAACGCTGCTTCAATTTCCCCATGGGTAGGCCAATATGATCTGAAGGGGAACTTTACTTCCCCAAGACTCGCAATGCATCCTACGACAAGCAAGTTTCCAACAAATTTTTTAATGCTTTTTTTTGTATTTAGACCCATAGTTACAACAGTGACAGTATGACTTTTTGTTTTTAGACCCAAGTTACAACAGTGACAGTATGGCTTTTTGTTTTTAGACCCATAGTTACAACAGTGGGAGTATGGCTTTTTGTATTTAGACCCATAGTTACAACAGTGGCAGTATGGCTTTTTGTTTCAATTATCAACATTTTTTTGACAAGAGCTAAAATTGTTGATGTCAATGATATTGATATGTTTTAAGTACGGTACCGGTATCTTCATTTCATTGTCATCACTAAGTGTTATTTCAACTATTTCTGGAGCGGCATATTGTGTCCCTACTTATTATGATACTTATTAGAAAATAAAATGAAACAAATAAAACGTGACATATTTTTTCAGCTAAACATTAATACACAACTCTGTGATCTAAAATATTTGAATAAGTAAGTTATTAATAAGTATTTGTTTATTAGAGAAAAAACAAATGGATGTTAAAGTCTATGAGTGGAATTATACAAAGAAAATTAAACAGTCAAAAGAGCTAAAAGTATAGTAAGTTATTAATAAGTATTTGTTTATTAGAGAAAAAACAAATGGATGTTAAAGTCTATGAGTGGAATTATACAAAGAAAATTAAACAGTCAAAAGAGCTAAAAGTATATCACAATGTACAGTTAGCACAGCTGTATCTGACTTAAACATGGTTTATGCGGCTGATCTGCATATTGCATGTCCATGTTGTTTACATTTTTTTAACGAAACTTGAATGAACATTCTAACAAAATAGATTGAAACTTGTAACATAAGTAACAAAACTATATGAAAATAACAATAAAACTATGTGAACAGAAAAAGAAAGCTATAGGAAGAATATTATTATAATATAACACTACGAAATAACCATTAAATATTTTGTTTTTAAATTTTATTTATAAAAATGAAGCTTCCCCGACTGGGAATCGAACCTATGTCTGCTGGGTGACGGACGGAGACACTGACCACTACTCTACCGAGGAGATGTGTATAAAGAACTTTTGTACTTTATATTCATTAATTAATTTATCACATTCTGTGAATAACGTTTAGCGTTATCGGCAGACCGAAATCTGTGAATAACGGCGAGCGTTATCCGCATAGCTCTGTGAATAATCACTTCGTACTTTATAGTACTCAGAACATTCAAATTCAGTCTTTAACTTCATTTCTTCATAGTTTTATTAAAATTTTAAGATAAATGTACATTTAATGACATGGGTTTAACCAAGAGTTGTCTCAACCTAAGCACAGTGATGTCACTTGGGGAATCTCAACACTGGACTTAGGGTGGCTGGACCAACGATTGGACTAGAACCACCAGAATGATAACTTTCCTGTTTTTCCCTGAGCATTGACATCAGTAGGGACCTCGGTATCGACCGGAAATACCCGAAAAAAGGGTATCGTATTTTCGTTGTCATTATGGCGACCTCTACTTTTTAATTTACTGAGGGTATCGTTGTTTCGCGTCTCATAATTGATTTTTAGCATAATAATATAATTTTACTTCCGCCAATTACTTAAAGCCGACATCTTTCCTGTTATATTAAGAGTTCGTTTGAGTTTTTGGGTCAAGATTAAAGCTTTGAAAATTGAAGTTAAAAATTGGTCAACTTCACTCAAGAATTACTTTTGTTAAAAAATGCGCTCTTAAATAAAAATACTCCGCTCTTTTAGTTTATATGTTCATTTAAAACATATCCAAAATTCATGAGTGTAGACCATGGGTGGGCTTCAAAAACAAATTTCCAAGATGTCATTTTTTTAGGCTATGTAATTTGTCATCATGGCCACCGTGCTTGTCTGCTTATTTCCAATTATCGATAGCAGCCGTGGGGTAATTAATAATTCATTAATTTGGTTATCCAGAGTATAAATGGGAAATATAACTAATAATAAATCATTTTATATAAATAAAAAATGTTTTATAACATAAATAATTATTATTGGCTTATTGAATATCAGTGATTTTAATTTTTGGGTTGGTTGCCATGGACCTGGCTGACACTGACATGGGAATGATAAGCTCTTGTCTTTGACTTAGATAGTGATAGGCTTAGTTTAAGTATTATAATAGTATTTATACTATTATAAATGATTTAAGGAGTGGGATAAATAGCTTTTATTACAACTAATATATTTATCATTTATATTAGTTTATATATTTATAGATAAATATTTATTTGTATATATATAATATATATAATGACCATTAGGCATTAGGCTAGAGGCCTTGTATACATATAATATAGTATAATACAAAGTATACTATATCAGGGTTAAGGCCTAGACCCAACCCAACTAATTTGTAGGGCCTATTATAATAAATTATATTTAATGATATTTTAGGATATGTAATAAAATTTTAATGAATATTGTGATTCTTACTTAAGTCATAAACTAAGTAAAACATTTTGAAATATTCACTTACCTTTGGTATTGAAATAGCCTATATTTAATCACATATCACAATATTCCACAAGAGAATTATTATATAATCTTCGGTTTCTCAAAGAAAAAACACACTTTCTGGCACTACAATCCAAGAATTACTTAAGATATTATTAAAGAACAGTCATAATAACCTGTACTTACCTCTAGTAAATGACTAGAACTTATTTTATTAACATCTAAAGTCAAAGTTGATTCTAATAATACATGTGGATTTGTAAAACAAGATTACAAACTTAAAATAAATGACATGTTGATTGTTTTGTCATACTCATAGGAAAAATATAATATATAGTATACATATGTAGAAAATGGTAAAATAAAAAGTGTAATTGTCAATTTTAAATAAATAAAACAAATAAACCCTTTATTATTTGTTTATGCTTATAAATGCTAAACAATTCCACAGAAAATCTGCAATTAATATCTAAAGAATATTATTATTATTATGATTGTTGGGAAATTAAAACAAAATTTTAATTAATTAATTACAAATAAGTGATGAGTCAGCATTTTTATACATTTTTAATAGGCAAATAATAAAGTTTTTTTTTTTAATATTTGTGTCACATTAACAAAAACTAATGTATATTTTGTGGCTTTATTTAGAAGTACTCTTATTTAACTATGTTCCCTGTAAATGTTATATTTTTGTCTCATTTTATAATAAAGTTATAGGCGTTAAAAAAAAAGCAAAATGAGGGTCACAAATGTGGAGGAAAATCCCATAGTAAAAAAGTGGTTTTGAGGTCCCTACGAAAAAATTCATAACTTTTGAACCACTTGAGCTAGAAAGTTATGCTTGGTGTTTTTGTAATCTATTCTCCAGGCTCTATACAGCTGTAGTATTTTTATATTTTTAAAAATGTTTTGAAATTTTCATCAAAGTGGCTATCATCAGAAACATAATCGGTACATGCATAGAGATTGTCCCATCCTTTTCCCCATGGCCGTTGTTAAGAACTTGAATGTGTTGTGTGATTGCGTGTTGTTTTGAGAGTATTTGGGTAGATGTTGTTACTAAATGTTTGAAATTTTGTTACGTATTGCGCGAAAGGGGATGTGACGTAGATTATTGTGTGTTGTGGTCTTGTGAGCAATGGCAGTTGAAGCTCTACCTTAGTTATGTAATAAAGATATTTAATATGAGACTAATGGTTTGTGAGTATATATATAATATAATTAAACCCCTAGACAACAAAGCAGACGAACCTTTTAAGTAAGACCTGATTCGTAACAGCCGTCATCTTGGTAGCCACAACCTGTAAAAGGTCACGGGTAATGGCAACCAAGTTGGCAGTCGTGTAAAAATAAAATATCTCGTGTCTGCTAAAATTAGGAATAAAATGTTAAAATTTAATGAAAATATGTCAGATAAATTTTGCGGTCAGCTTAGCTACTTTATTGTATCCCTCTCACGTCTGCTAAAATTTAGGAATAAAATATTAAAATTTAATGAAAATATGTCGGATAAATTTTGCGGTGAGCTTAGCTACTTTATGGTATCTAGGGGTGTGCCGGATCCGGATTTTCTTATGCGAAATCCGCCGGATTCCGGAATAATCCGGATTCCGGTTTCTCCCAGATTCTGGATTTTGGTACTATTGGTAGATACTTCGGTAAGTCAAGGTGGACTACTACTTTTTGTGTATGGGAATTCGCAATCGGCGCCAAAAAATCTGAGTTTTTAATTTTCCGATGTGTGTGTCTATTTATTATTAAATTAGTACTTTTGATATATATTTGAGTTCCGTTCCATTTGGATATGTGTCTTACGAGAGACGCCATGTTTCTACGCGTTCGCAGCAGGTCATGCAGCTCGCTCAACCTAATTTCGCCATGGGGTTGGCCACGCCCCCCTTTTTAATGGCGGAAGTTGACGATACTTAGGAAATATTAATATATTATCACTATTTACATCAAAATAATTGATAACTTGTGTTTCAGAATGCATTTAAAGACATTTAAACTGGAATGTTTTAATTTGAGCTTTAACAACCCGGTAGAATCCATATTATAAATGATCAGAATTTACCGTGTGCAACACGTTGTCATTGGCAACCATTCACAGCCACTTGCATAACTGTATCGTAGTACTACCTCAGAGTTTCATTCATAAGAGTTTGCCGTGTGCAAAAACTATTAAACCATTGGTCAGGGAAAGCTTTAATTAATTATTCATGTGCCAAAGTTGAAAGTTTAAACTAAGTCTAAACAGTATTTTAGTGATAAGGCAGGGAATGCGTTGCCTTATATAAACTATATAGTCATTGCGCATGACGGGATTGGCGGAATGAGATCACAGAATGTGGAGATGCAGTCCATGTTAAAAAATGACAAACCAAGTCGTACTTTAAAAATTCATAACTTTAAAACTACAACAGCTAAAAATATGATTTTGGTGTTATAATTCTTTAAAAAATTACATCTTTTCAACTATGCCATTGGTTTATTTTTACAAAAAGTTTAAATTTTCTTATCAAAGTCCCTACACTATTGGCCACTATTAGCGGTGCTGACTCTAGCCTCTGGTATGTACGGAATATTAAACATTAAACAAGCTCAACGCTCGAAACAATCGATTAATGTATCGTGATCGTGTGGAATTCGGGAAAGAGAATTACTTTTATTTCAGATTATGATCCGGTGAGTCACAAAATCTGGCAAATTCCGAAATCCGGTATATTCCGGAATCCGGTTGTTCCGGATACATGTAAATCCGGCGGAACCGGATTTCACCGGATAGTGCAAAATCCGGCGGACTCCGGCACACCCCTAATGGTATCCCTCTAGATGTGGCAAGAAGTGTTGGCGTAAACAACCTATGGTGGATCCCTTTCCTCCCGTACTTTCAGACATTACACATGCAAAATAATTATAAATTAATAAATTAATATTAATGAAAACACAAATTAGTTTCATAGAATACACATTAACACACTTTATTCAGGTTCCATCGAAAAAAATATCCAGAAAATAAATAAAATACAATTACAAACCCATGGTCAAATATGGCACAGACCTGATTTTTTAACAAATGATATCAATAAAAGCGATTTGTTTCTAAATTTAGATGGCTTTCTGATCCTCAACTTGGTTATTTTGAGCGGACAAATAGGATTTAAGTTTTTTGTTGTCGACCGTTCAGTTTATTGCACCACCAGTTTTGAATGTGTGCCTTGTGCAAAAATAATTCTTTTGTAAATCCGGTGGAAAAATTTTTCAAAAACCTGTATGGCTGTAAAACTTATCAAACTTATTAAAACTGTACAAAGTACAGGTAAACCATACCAGTACCAGGTTGGCATGTGTGCCAGTTGATAAAAGAAGCATGGCTTAGCCTACTTAATTTATTCAAGTTCAAGAGAAAATTTTAATTGAAATGTTAGAAAATAATTTCCAAAATGAAATAGGTGACTTGCCTAGTGAATTGGACATTAAGTTATACTACATTGTAGTTTACTGTACTGATTTGTTCATGATTTAGATTAAAAATACCGTAGTTATTTCTTCTACCTCTAACAAGTTTGTCTACTACTTCTACTACCAGCAAAGTCTTGTTAAAACATTATTTTTCCTCAGGATGTTAAATCATTGACCCCTCTATCGCCTGATGTTATTAGTAGACAGGCAACTATAAATATAGGTAAGTTTATTAAACCATTAAACCCGAAAGTTGCAACTTTCAATTTAAGGGCAGTGATGCTGTAAACGGTGTGTAATAGAGGGCACTGCCACAGCTACATGTCTAGCCCTAGAAGGGGCCATTCATAAATGATGTAACGCATAAATGGGGGGGGGGGTGTCCCCACAAATTTGTGAAGTTGTATTATGAGGATGTCTTTAAAATCCCCCCACCCCCAAATAAACAAAAGATGGCCCCTTATAGCTTTGTTTTCCACACATCATCATTGTGACATCTCACCTAAATAAGGCAATATGTTTCTAATAAATGTCTAAGAATCATAGATAGATTTTCATTAATTGTAAAGTAATGTTTTTAATGTATAATATAATAATAATGGCCATTAATTTCTAAGTGTGCTTTATTTTTATTATTCATATAAAGTTCCAATCTTTTCTTTTATTTGTTTATAATAATCTCTGCAGCTTGGTGGCAATGAGACATATTTATGAGCTGTTTAAAATAGAAATGACATCCTGTCTTTATTTGCAGGAACCATTGGCCATGTAGCTCATGGAAAGTCCACAGTTGTAAAAGCCATATCTGGTGTACAGGTTAGACACACACATTCATATTTTATTGGCTTCAGTATGTGCTTAAATGTCATTCTTCATTGCAACTCATAATAAAATTTGAAACATAAAAATTAAGTTGCTTATGTACTTTAATAATAAACTTGTAAAATTAAAAGAAAATTAACTTACAAAAAATTTAACTTATGCAAATCTGAAAGACATTTACCATTAATATATTAAGAGAATTGCCTAACTTTGCTCTTTTCTTCACTATTTTAATTTAGTTGATTTTTTAAAAAAATAATTTTAAATGTTTATTTTATTTTAGACTGTCAGATTCAAGAATGAACTTGAAAGAAATATTACAATTAAGCTAGGTTATGCTAATGCAAAGGTAATTTTTTTTCTTTCCATTTTTATGTGGTCTGTGTGTATGTTTGGGTAAATCACTTTCAAAGTCCCCGTCCCCACCTTTTTTTTTTAAAAAAAAAACTAAATTATTTTTCCCAAAGTTATACTTGCCTTTTTTTTGTTAATTTTTTATTTTTTATTTTATGCTAATGCAAAGTTAATTTTTTTTCTTTCCATTTTTATGTGGTCTGTGTGTGTGTTTGGGTAAATCACTTTCAAAGTCCCCGTCCCCACCTTTTTTTTTAAAAAAAAAAACCAAAGTATTTATCCCAAAGTTATACTTGCCTTGTATTTGTCAATTGTATATTTTTTATGAAACTTTGTGTTAATGATATTATTTCTTACTGGTTTATCAATAAATAAATTTACCCTTAATTACTTTCTGAATCATTAACATTGCCATATTTTCCTCACATTTCCCAAATTATAATATTTAAAATATTCCAGGCACTCTCGTAAATTAATTTTTGTTTCCACCATGCAGATCTATCAGTGTGATAATGAAACCTGTCCAAGACCAGATAGCTATAGATCTTGTGGTAGTGCTAAAGATGACTCATTCGTTTGTGACAGACAAGGCTGTACAGGAAGATTCCGACTAAAAAGGTTTGTGCAGCATGCTCATCATGTTAGACTATTGAACTAAATACATAAAATATTTCATTTTCTCGGGCATGGCAATTCTATTTTTTCACATCTCTATATCCAAGTTTTCTTTTTTTTTCTGTCTTTATTTAGGCATGTGTCCTTTGTAGATTGCCCTGGTCATGACATTCTTATGGCCACTATGTTGAACGGAGCAGCTGTTATGGATGCCGCCCTTCTTATGATTGGTAGGTAGACCTTTAGCTTATTAACTAACATACAGACAGCTCAGAAATTTAGTAACTGTGGCCTCGAGCTATGACTTACCCCAAGCAGTATTAAATTATTGAAATCATTTAAATAAATTTTTTTCCCAAAAATATCCTGTGAACTTAACAAGTACCTGTATTATATTTTTAAATACTTGGTATTGACTTTGCTTTTGTTCATGGGTGGGTGGCAGGCAAAAGCTTTGGACGTTAAATTGGCCCTCTTCCCGTCGAGTTATTGAGCTGATACATAGACTCACGCCCAATAACAACACATTTTATCAAATTTTCAGCAAATTGTTTGAGATTTCATTTTATACAAAAATCGAGCTATGACTTACCCCAAGCAGTATTAAATTATTGAAATCATTTAAATAAATTTTTTTCCCAAAAATATCCTGTGAACTTAACAAGTACCTGTATTATATTTTTAAATACTTGGTATTGACTTTGCTTTTGTTCATGGGTGGGTGGCAGGCAAAAGCTTTGGACGTTAAATTGGCCCTCTTCCCGTCGAGTTATTGAGCTGATACATAGACTCACGCCCAATAACAACACATTTTATCAAATTTTCAGCAAATTGTTTGAGATTTCATTTTATACAAAAATCTTTGTTTTGAGGGGTTGTTCAATAAATCCTTTATATTAACTTCGCTATTGTTTGTGGCAGGCAAAATCTTCGGCAGGCCAATTGACCAACTTCCTGTCAATCAATTGAGCTGAAAATTGGCTAATTGACTCGTTGGCATTGACAACACATTCTTTAAAAAATTTTAGCCCCAAACCACAACCCCAATATTGTTCCTGTTTTTCAAGTGGAAGATAAAGGAAATATGATGCCACTGGTTTCACTCAGGAAATAAAATTCCAGATAACTGCGCATAATGAGATTCTTTAAAAGACAACATTGCGTTTAGTGCATAATATTTTCTTTATTTTTTTCTGGAATAGTCGATAAAATATAGCTATGGTGTAAAAGCGGGTGGGTCATTAAAATATTAATATAGTTCATGGGTATGAAAAAAAATGTGCGGTTGCAAGCTTTGGAGAGGGAGCACTAATTGAAATTCTTATAAAATGTGTTACTTGTATGCATGTTTTGTGAAATTTTCAGCCCCACCATTAAGAAATGTGTGGTTGGGAGCGGGGGTGGGGGGAGCAATATGGATTCTTATAAACAGAATTAAATAAAAAAATAACTTGGCTGTAATAAAACTACATAACAAGTGTTATTTTACTTAATTCTGATTTTACTGTTGTTTGTTGATGAACACTTGTTCATTGTTTTGTTGCGTTCTTTTTTTCAGGTTTTCCCATACTTGGTTTCACTCATTTCCATTTGTCTCTTCAATATAAAGTAATATACTTATAAATATTGTGATGGATGGAAAATCTTCTGGTTTACACATTCCATTCTGTCTCACTAGTACTGGTACATTTCAAGTCTGCTGATAGAATGCACTGACAACGAAACACATTCCATTCTGTCTCACTAGTACCGGTACATTTCAAGCCTGCTGATAGAATGCACTGACAACGAAACACATTACCGTACATTTTTTTTTAAACAATAGTTTAATTTTTATTTTGTAGCCGGCAATGAATCTTGTCCACAACCTCAAACATCGGAACATCTGGCAGCTGTAGAAATCATGAAGCTGAAGCACATCCTCATCCTTCAAAATAAAATTGATCTTGTCAAAGAATCACAAGCCAAAGAACAGTATGAACAGATTCAAGCTTTTGTTAAAGGTGCCGGTTTTTTTCATTCTTTTTTTGTGTGTGTTAATGTTTTGAAATTGATTTTATGTATAGAAAAAACGATTTCATGGTAACTGATATAGCTTTAAAAAAAAGTAAGTTTAATTTGCATCCAGTGTAAATTTTTAAAATGTCTTTAAGTACCCTGTATGCTTAATTTAACTATACTGGGTACATAGTTTTTGGGGTTAAGTTGGTAGATTGTAAAATAATAGCATTATAATAATTTATAAGCATAATATCGGTACCGGTTATAGAAAATGAAAAAAAAATGGAATTGTAACAGAACATAACAAGAAAAAGACAATATTTGAGGTAGTATCTGTTTAAAAAAAATTATTTGAAATTAGTGAAATCTGCTTTATTTGAAATGTTTTTTCAAACTAATTATCTACAGTGTTTACTTTTCTAAGGAAAACCTTTAAAAACTACATAAAAAGCATGTGTGACCCAAAGCAAAGATATTAGTAAATGACTCCATACCAAATTTTATGCAATTTAAGTTTTGGATGTTGCATTGACTTTTACATGGAATTCACCTGATGTAGAATTTAGAATGATACAAAACCTATTAGTAAAGTTAAACTTTTTATGTAATGGACTGGGAACCATAACTAAACAAAAAAAATGTTTTGTAGGAACTGTTGCTGAAGGTGCTCCAGTTGTTCCAGTGTCTGCACAGCTTAAGTACAATATAGATGTAATTTGTGAGTACATCATCAAGCGCATCCCGGTGCCAGTTAGGGATTTCTTGTCAGAGCCAAGACTCATTGGTAAGTTGTTTTGCAACAGATTAATTTAATTAAATAGTAATTTAAATAATTAACTCATTCCCACAGCTGCGACTAAATGCATCTTACGAGAGTCACGACTGTTGTGTCCTGGTACATCTCTCTCATTGTTATTTAAACAAAAGGATGCCATTTTGAGACTTCTAGTGTGCACGTTTTTCAATCTAGTTGTGATATCTAGGATGTGCTGGCCCAAAGTGTAAAAATGTTTGTGTTTTTTGGCCTTGTTCGTTATTCTTTCTGTAACTGTTATAATTTTTTAAAACTTTATTTATTTCTGGGTACATTTGTCCTTCATTTGTTGAAATTAATTAATATTTAGCAGCTAAAATAAATTCCCTTTATTCAGGAATGTGGATTAAATCAGGAGAAGCATAGATGTAAGGAAGTGCTTTATTGAGTATTTTTGTACTGAAAATTACCCGCCAAATATCTGGGAAGTGCATTTGTAGTATTGCCTTTGGTCTGTAAGGTATAGTGCTATAAAATGACTCATGTGCCCCACTAATACGGTACAGGAAAATAAAAGTTTTTTACTTGGTCATCTAATGAGCAATAAGTTTGAATGTGTCAGGCACCGGTTGGAGACAATCACTATGTCTTCTGCTAATTGAATGTGTCAGGCACAGGTTGGAGACAATCACTATGTCTTCTGCTAATTGAATGTGTCAGGCACAGGTTGGAGACAATCACTATGTCTTCTGCTAATGAATTTGAGGTGGAGACTGTTCATCTTACCTGCTAAAATTTATACACCTTATGGTAGAAGGTTGCTCTTGTTTTATCTCTATCACCTATAGTAGACCTGTTAACTCTTAGGATGTTGGTGTACAGTGCATGACTTTGAAGTATCTTTTGCAGTTTTTCACCAAGACCTGTCACAGCTACGATTTTAAGAAACTGGGTTAAAAATATATACATTCTGGTAGTTTTTCAGATTAAAAAATTATCATTAAAAAAGTCAATTTTTGATTGTTAGTTTTAACCTGCTGTCTACATCCAGCAGTGAATGGAGCGAGAAATACGATTGTTTTGGGACCTAATATTATGTTTGCCCTGAGAAGGGAAGGGGGGTGGTGATTTAGGAGATTGGTGGGGGGGGGGGAGGCGGGGGTTTACGCCAGCTTAACTCAACTCCACCAGACACCTGATGCGAGCAGTTATTTTACTTGTATAATACATTATATATATACTGATTTATTTACCATTAAGATGCTGTATTGTACGATTTTGCGGAGTTGGATGGTAAACAGGTCTGCTATAGGGGTCTACTCTCCTTTTACTACCCTTCATTTGGGTAAGCTTAGGGGTTGTACTTTCTGAGCATGCCCCCTCAATGCTTGGCCCACTATTTTAAAAAATTTATTGAGTGATGACAAGTTGAATGGAAGCATATAGTATAGGTAGGACTAAATATCCAGTTTTGGAATTTCATTTAAAGTGCTTGAGATTATTTATATCTAAAATTGCAGTGATTAGATCTTTTGACGTCAACAAGCCTGGATGTGAAGTGGATGACATCTTGGGGGGTGTTGCAGGTGGATCTATACTCCGAGGAGTGCTAAAAGTAAGTGACTCTTCATTTTTTATTTTGACATCTATTTTTTCATAATTTTACTTATAATGGAAAATAAATATTATTATATCTATATTTTAGGTAAACCAAGAAATAGAAGTACGACCTGGTGTTGTCTCCAGAGATCAGGATGGAAAATTAACTTGTCGGCCTATACTGTCTAAAATTATATCACTCTTTGCTGAACAGAATGATTTGCAATATGCAGTGCCTGGTGGATTAATAGGTATGTTAAAAATAGTATTTCCTTTGAACTATGTCAGAAAAATTATACAGATTGAATTTTAAAACTATATAATGGTAAGATATTACTCTATGATTTATGTTATAGATGTAATAGTTTTGGTGGGTTGTTTGGTTTTTGTTTTTAAAAAAAAATAGGTGAGGGGTGTAAATTATTGTTCAAATAAATTGTACATCTTGTTTGTTTTTTTTTAATCTAGGTGTAGGTACAAAAATGGATCCTACCCTTTGTCGTGGTGATCGCCTGGTTGGACAAGTATTGGGTGCAGTTGGGGCATTACCTGACATTTTCACTGAACTTGAAATTTCATTCTTTCTTTTGAGAAGGTTGCTCGGTGTTAAGACAGAGGGAGACAAGAAGGGTGCTAAAGTAGGTTTAAAGAATCATCTTTTAACAGTAATATCGAAACCTGGGTGAAATATCTGAATTTGAAACGAACACATCTACATACAACTAGAACTTGTCAAATTGTACAAGCACTCTTTAAAAATGAGTCTTTGAGTAAAGTCAAAATTGTCTCATTTAAAAACTAATTTTTTTTTTTTTTAAAGTTTTACCAAGTTGTCCAAAAGTAGCTTTAATTTAAAATGAATTTCTCTTCAGTTAGTAAATCCTTTTTGAATTAGTATACTATCTCTTCCAATACCGTGGTTGTTTGTTTTCCCCATAGGTTCAAAAATTAAGCAAGAATGAGATATTGATGGTCAACATTGGATCTCTTTCCACTGGTGGTCGTGTTTTGGCTGTTAGGGCTGATTTAGCAAAGATTGGCCTTACCTCGCCTGTGTGTACAGAGGTTGGAGAAAAGATTGCACTGAGTAGACGTGTGGAGAAACATTGGAGGCAAGTTAATTACAAAATTCATTAACAGTCTGCTGGATATTGAGCTTTTCAGTACACTTTTAACTTATGAAGATAATTGTCCGATCTAATGAGAAATTTTCATTCACCTTTTTTCAGATTGATTGGCTGGGGTCAGATACGGAGAGGAGTGAAGATAACGCCAGACAACTAGAGACTGTTTGATGATGGATGTAATGTAACTACCATACAGTTATGCATATTGTGTTTACATTAAGTACTAAGGAGAATAAAGAAGTTCATGTTAAAAGTGTGTATCACTTATAACATTTCTTATACTGCTGTTTCTCAAATCTTTTGGAACAGAATTACTTTTATGTAATAAAAAATAAAATTCTTCTGCTATTAAAAACAAAAAAATGCAGTTGTGATCTAAAGAAAATATTGGTGATGTCGTTATTTTGAATCATGGTCAACTTTTTGGGTGCAATATCTACCTTCAGAGTTAACTAATTCAATAATTATTTAAACTATATTTACTACAAGCAAAAAGATAAAATTTCTTTACATTTTGAATTATTAGAAAATAAATCAGAAATGAATGATTGCTGTACCATAGTGGCACATAGTACCATAGTGTATGTACTCTGTGTGAGTATAAATTATTAAATGTCTTTGAATGGCATAATGTGGTATTGTGTATGAAATTAAAATTATTGTCTCTAGAAACTCTTGTATTCTTTTATTGCAAAGAATGTTTGTTTGAAATATGAAGTCAACCTTTTCTGGACGACAACGTCAATTCTTTGAAATATTCAATTTATATTTCACAGGTAAAGAAAGCATTATTTGCATTACATTGTTCAAAATATTTATTATAACTGTACATATGATAAGCAAAATATTCTGAGATATTTCAACCATTTGGCCATATGATAAAATGAGCTCTGTGGTAAATAGTTTGATTCAGAGTCAGAAGGACTGCTGACATGACAAGAAGCATCAAGGCACACAAGTGTTCCCAATAGAAATCTTAGAATTTTAAAAAATTAAAGGAATACAAAAATACTCTTTTTTTTTTTTTCTAACAAGTTTGAATAGTTTGATTTTGAGTATGCTGCAAAAGGGGTTCTCTAACTATATGCACTTATTTTCAAATAGGTTCCTGAGAAAAAGAATGGAAAAAAATTTTAGGTACATTTTCTTAAAACCTGATAATAAAAAAATAAACCTTTGGTAAAATTACATCGCCACCATCAATTCTGAAATTTTGATAGAAGCTGAAAACAATTTGCACTATCCAATGTATTTCAATATCTGAACAAAATCAAAATGGAAAACTGTTCAGAATTCTTTCTAATTATACAGATGGAAAATTCAACAACAGGCTTTATGTTAACCATTCGCTTGCTCTTAAATTTTAAAAGGCAAAAGTTTTAATTAATAGAAAACTGCACTACTGAATTTAAAAAGGCAGTTCAGTAATATAATGCATATCTAAAATGATACCCTTTTTTTTGTTTAGTTTGTGTATCACTTAATTGAAGCAAAAGCTCATGTCTGCCTTTACCAACAATGTACTCATTTATATTTGCAATTTCTGTAAAGTTGAGGATTAGGGGCAATTAGGCAATACACAAAAACACAAATCACCTTACACAACTTACATGCATTTGTTATAATGAAGATATCTTTTAAATTAGAAAGCATCAAAGAAAAATTAAATATAAACATATTACGAACTGTTCCATTCATGAATGCAAGGCTGGCATATGTTTAAATAGCTGACATTTGCACACATGTCACAGAATTAAATAATGGTCCATTTATTCAATGCAAGCGGCGAAGCATTTTTTGACAGCATCTCTGTTGATAAATAATTCCAAAAATATTCCATTAAATCATCAAATAAATAGTACAGTTCAAATAATTCATTAAAGACAAGTTACAGTAAGCATGTGTTTTATTATCATGATTAACTTTTAATGTATATAAAATATATTTTTTATTACTTACCGTGCAAATGGAATGTATGATATTGAATACCACGTAAGGGCAAGGAACTGCAACACACAGAATACTATTACCAATCCCTTGATCTTAGTCTGTAGGATGGGAAAGTTTCAAATAGTAGAAACAATGTTTCAACAAGAAATTTTTAGTGAGCACTGCACATGATTAAGGCGGGCTACACCCAAATACATCAAAATGCTGTACCAAGAAATGTAAAACTGGTACACCACTTTTCAAAGTATGACATTTTAGTACTGGTACTCAAAAGCCATGTTTTTCTCGCTTAAGTTTACTTAGCTACATTTTAATTAAATACAATGTAAAAAAAAAAAAAAAAAAACTTGCAAATATTTATAACCGAAATCTATAAAATATCTTTTTTAAAAAAAAAAAAAAAAAATATAAAAAAAAAATAAATGTAAAACTGGTAAAACACTTTTCAAAGTATGACATTTTAGTAATGGTACTCAAAAGCCATGTTTTTCTCGCTTAAGTTTACTTAGACAAATTTTAATTAAATAAAATGTAAAAAAAAAAAAAAAAAACTTGCACATATTTGTAGCCGAATTCTATAACATATCTTTTTTAAGAAAAAAAAAATAGCTTTAAAAAAAATATAATTCTTGGCTAAATAAGATTTTTAAAAAATGTGTAATACTTACTGCGAATGCAAAAACTAAAGTGAGTATAATCATGACCTGTGAAAATATATTTACAACACCATGTATGACACTATAACTATAAAAAAAAAAATAAGGCTTTAAAAAAAAATTAAACATGTTAATTAACAAGCATGACTGCTCTGTAAGGTAATCGTCAGGGACACAAAGGAAAATTGCACAAATCCTTAAATGGGGTTCAAGGTAGAATTTGATAAGCAACTGAAAGATGCCATGTCCTCTAAATAGTGAACAGTAGCTGTAGTGATAGAAGAACTTGTTCTAGGTGACAACTCTCAACTTCACTGACGGCCACATTATCTGTTTTCTCATTAGTTTCCCTAAGCAAGGCAACAACTGTATGTGTTGCTAATTCCCCAATCACTATATACCGGTATTAAGATACTCATACAAAGATCCCCAAGTTAATATTTATAATAGGCTTAATTAGTATGTCATGAAATTTTAAATTTTATGTAACTATTTCCTCATATGCAGCTTTATTACTTTTTACATAGTAATAAACATGAAAAATATTTTTTTCTAAAACCATAAGTGAAAATAATTGCTAAACTGAATTAGAAAAAAAGTTACTTGGTTTAAAAGAAAGCATGTAAACATTCAGGCTGAAAAACTGAGATAACACTTACAAAGACTAGTATTGTTGCTATGATTCTTGTTGTTGCAAACATTTTCTTTAATTGATTTAATGGTCCCATCAGGAAACATGTGCTTCAAGGAACATACAAAAATGAGAATAAAATATTTTAAAATGGATGCTAAATAAATTTAAAACTTATTTATAAATAAACACCGATATGAGTACAAAAGGTTAGTTTTGAAATACATGCAAAAAAATGGCTATCTTAATCTTAAAAATACACAGTACCGGTAGTTCGAATCAATCTTTTCTTTAATACCATACGCTGCGTGGATACATTATAATAAATGGTGCACTTTTAACATTTTAGAGTCACAATTGGGGAAGGGGAGGGGTTTGCTCTTTTAAAAAAGTAGACAAAAGTTTAACATAAATTATCAACTCTCCTTTCATAGACTTGAGCCTCTTCATATTGTACTAAAATAATGTATCAAATTCATTTATTAATTTAAATTGTATTATTATTGGTGGTCTTATATAGCGCGGTACTCAGCCTAGGGCTGGGCTCACCGCACTGTACATAAAATTTTTAGCAAACATAAAAAATAACACATTTATTCATTTATATAAAAGAAACAGCTGTATAACAACAAAACAAAAACAAAAGTATATTCACAACACCGACCCCAGACGGCAGCCAGCAGCCTCTTTTATCGGTCAGATGGGGGAATCAGTCAGGGTAGTAGTAGTAGTAGTAGAGTTTAAAGAGATGTGTTTTGAGTGCAGTTTTGAAGGCCTGGCTATTCGGTATATTGCAGATGTGTAGTGGGAGAGAATTCCATTGTTTGGTGGCGCAGAAAGAGAAAAATCGTTCACCATATGTTTTAGTGTGTGTCTTGGGAACAGACAGAATATGCGTGTCTCCGAAACTGTTGAAGGGATGAATAGACAGAAAGAGGTTCGGTTAGATATGAAGGGCAGGAATCAGAGAAATAGTTGTGAAAGAGAACAGACAAATTTTAATCAATGTGTGCCTGTTTAGGGAGCCAATGAAGTGAGTGGAGAGACAAGATCACATTTTTTTTTTGCCTTTAGAACTAGCCAAGCAGCCGAGTTTTGAACCTTTTGTAGTTTTCCTATGAAGTGTTTTGGTGAACCTGACAGAAGAGAGTTACAATAGTCAAGACGAGAGAGAACAAGAGCACAGACTAGGGTTTTTGTTGCGCTAACTGTGAGGTAGTGGCGGATGGAGCTGATCTGAAGGATAGCAGTTTATAACCAAGATTCCTAGCAGAGGATATGAACTGTATGTCGGAGTTACTTAATTGAAAGGAGGTGGGGAGAGTTGAGGTAGAGGATGATTTGTGAATGAGGAGTGCCTTCCGTTTTGTCATTAAGCTTCAACTTGCTGAGTGTCATCCATGACTTGATATCATCAATGCTCTCCCGCAAAGTCTGGACAGCGGAATCGACAAGAGAGGGAAGGGTATGATTGTATAGCTGCGTGTCATCTGCGAATGACTGGCTCTCAACAGCATATCTCCCAAGCAAGAGGAGCAGTGGCCTGGGATATATTGTGAATAGAACTGGGCCCAAAACAGACACGAAGTCAGCACTGCCGGAGAGACAGCCATTAACAGGCTGCCTGCATTCTATCGGAGAGGTAGGATCTAAACCGAGCAAAAACTGAACCAGAAATTCCAAAGTAATTTTCAAGGATTTTGTAAAGGGTTTCATGGTCAACATTGTCAAAGCCCGCACTGAGATCTAAAAGGATGAGGATGGAGACATTACAGCTGTCCATTGCACGCAAGAGGTCAATCCTGACTCTCAAGAGAGCTGTCTCTGTGCCGTGGAAATGTCTATAGGCCGACTGATGAGGACTGAGAAGGGAGTGGTCATTTAAGTTACCAAAAAATTGTTTTAGAACTAGCTTTTCAATGACTTTAGATAAACATGATAGGTTTGATACAGGTCCATAGTTTTTTAAATTATTTGCATCCAGACCAGGCTTCTTAAGCAATGGTTTGATGACACTTACAAAGAGGGGTTACAGCGCCAGAAGACAAGCGTTCATTAACTATGTGGGTTATCATTGGGGCAAATGATCTAATGACTCAAACAACAGGGGGGTGGAGATGGGGTCCAAAGAACATGACGTATAGAGAATATATATTTCTATTAAAAAAATAAATATAAAATGAAGCCCCACCCCCCCCCCCGAGAAATAAGAGTGAGGTTGCCATAGCAACCATTATATGGCCCAACAATTTAATTGTTTGGCCACCTGGTCAGCATACATGTCAATCAACCTGTATTGCCAGCCTACAATAACAGGCATTCAGGTTTCAGGGCCAGAGAAAGACCACACAACCACACAAGACACCCTCAAAGTCTACAAAATGAATCTTTAGCAGGCCTCACACCTCATGGAAGGTCACCAACTTTACCCTACCTAACATGACGCCTCCCCCAGTGGAAGCGGGCATGAGGAACAAGAATGAATTAAATGAATCGTGTTTTCATGAAGTTTACCAAAGCATTTACCTGACGAGTGACAGAATGTTGCCTATTGTGTAAAGAACTGCAAAGATGATGAGGCCATTAGGTAAAAATAGTAAACAGCTCCCCTGAAACAAAAAATTTGAATGTCTTATTTTAATTCCATTTTCTCTTTAGGCCCCTAAAATGCAGTACTAATGTCCTAACGTTATTTCTTAAAATGTATGGGCCACTAATGCCTAATGTTTAATATTATTGTTGATACCCTAGCTGTAAGATCCTTAAAATGTATGGGCCACTAATGCCTAATGTTTGATGTTATTGTTGATGCCCTAGCTGTAAGATTCTTAAAATATATGGGCCACTAATGCCTAATGTTTGACGTTATTGTTAATACCCTAGCTGTAAGATTCTTAAAATGTATGGGCCACTAATGCCTAATGTTTGACGTTATTGTTAATACCCTAGCTGTAAGATTCTTAAAATGTATGGGCCACTAATGCCTAATGTTTGACGTTATTGTTAATACCCTAGCTGTAAGATTCTTAAAATGTATGGGCCACTAATGCCTAATGTTTGACGTTATTGTTAATACCCTAGCTGTAAGATTCTTAAAATGTATGGGCCACCAGTGCCTAATGTTTTATATTATTGTTGATACCCTAGCTGTAAGATCCATTATTGATGACAAAAACCATGAGCAATGGTTAAAAGATACGTATGCTGTATAACTTTATTATACTTGTATACCGGTAATTTAAAGTTCTATTTAGATACATTTGCGCTCTGTATTAACCAATTGAAATTAAGTTATTGGAGTCACATTGTTACTTGGCTAATATTGTTCCGTCCAACATAAAACAAAGTCAAGATTTTTCCAGCACGTATGACAGTTTTTGCATTTTACTTCTTTGAACAATTTCATTGAAAGTGTCCTTTTTGAGGTTGACATAATCATAATAATAACTTAAATTAATTTTTACAAACGCACCAACCAGGAATACAACTAGTCTCAAACACATGGCAAATGAGTATTCCAACAAAAGACCATAATGTTGTCATACACTTAAGCAAAAGTTTTCTATTATTAACAATTTTTTTAAAAAATGTATTTTATTTTATATTAATTCTACAAGAATGGTCACTTTTAGCGCCTTTGAAACACCGGTAATAATAACACCAACATTATGGTTAACACTAACATCAATCTTTCAAAAGCACACAAAGTACAGTTTATAAATGGGAGAACTTTGTAGGTTGTAAATAACATGGTTTCTCCTGAGGAAATATGTTGGTATCATAATATAAAGTTTATTCTTATTTGTAAAGGGAGTGCAAGGGGGGCCATCCATGCAAAGGGACTTCATGCAAATTTTGCCACCCCCACTTCCCCCCACCGTTACAAATGTCACAAAAAGCTGGACCCCTCTTCAAATATAACATCACAAATCTCTGCATCCCCCACTCCTTAAGAAATTCCCCTCCCATGGATATCCAATTACTGCACCTGTATCGGAAAAATTTCACTAGAATAGTGGTTCTTAACCAAGGGTAAAAATAGCTCCCCAGCTCTGAGGTGTGGAAGACCAGAAAATTTTATTTGCTGGGGGGGGGTGGTGGTGGTGGTGGTGTGTGTGTGTGTGTATATGTTTAAAACGGAATGGGCCTGCAGTGATGCAAAAAAGTAAAAAATCTCTGCCCTAGGGCATTTACTAAGATCACCCCCTACCCCCGGTCAACCAATTTGTTATCTTCCATCCCACTTCACGTCATAGTCCTAATTCTATGACTCCTATCTCCACATTTTGACATAAATTCTCTTGACTGTCAAAGTCACTACCCCTTTTGCTCCTTTATGGGGGCCAATAACTTGATCAGAGACCATTTCTCAGACCTCTGCTATTACGCTTTTTATGTGACATCGCATAACTAAAGCCCCCTCCCGTCTCAAACATTGTAACAAAAATGTGACCATCCCCCCCCCCCCCCAAGATTTGTCAAGTCACTTATGGAGGGCCCCCAAGAGATACATATTTGTTAAAATATTTGCTAAAATATGTCTAGCATCTGTCATAATTGGTTTTTGCATCCATCCATTGCATACCAAGATAGAGAGGCCAGCACCAAGAACAAAGCAGATGAGGAAACCTTTAATCCTTGTGGACCAGCTAAGAGTTGAAGCATCACTAATCTGTAAGACAAAGTAGAGAGTTAAAAGATGAATCATTGACAAAAAACGAAATTATTTATCATCCGTTAGAATCTGGGTCAGCCACCTTTTTGAATGAAAAAAAAAAATTATAAATTATATCCGTTAACAAAATGTTTAGGGAGCTGTTGTTTACGGAGGATTGAGAGGATCAATATGCACCAGACACCTGAGGTAATTTTTTTTACATCTGATACTTTAAATTTAGAACTACATTAGATTAGAAGGAATAAATCATAGAGCAATTTATTTTGTTTGCTAAGTTGAGTGCTGACATAGAGCAATTTATGTTGTTTGGTAATCACTTGATTACTAAACAGGTGAATAAATCAAGACCGCAAGCAAGGTGTCTCTACATTGAGGTAATACTACTACCAACTGAACTGTTGCTTCCTTACATCCCCACAAGACAACTACGTTCTTCCATTGACAGTAGAACCCTCTCAATCCCAAGAACTAAAACTAAGACCATCGGTGAACGCTCCTTCTGCTTCCATGGGCCCACGTTCTGGAACCAGCTCCCCTTCCATATATCATCTGTTTAGGTCCGCCTATGACCTGTGATGCACCCTCCTTGCCCTACCTCATTTTCTGTTTCGGGTTGATCCTGAAGTGTCAAAGTGTCCTCGTTTTATAGCCATTTTCATTGTTTCTATAGAATAGAAGTTACTATCCTAGTGTCTCATTTGTATTTACTTAGTTTAAATGTTTTAATAATTGTAAAGCGCTTAGAGCTTTATGATAAGCGCTATATAAAAATGCCTAAATAAATAAATAAATAAATAAATAATTGCTTGATGAGTTCTTATAAAATTTGCAGTTCATTTAAAAGGTATTTTAGAATCTTTAGTTTCACTTTAATGGAAAAGAAAGCCAACGGCCTAAGACTTCACATTTTAATGATGTAGCCTCTTCTCCAATAGTCATCACAAATCTCTAAAACCCCTCATAAGTTTAATGTTAAAGCTTTGAAGCTTCAATGCCACCCCGTGGAGAAACTAATTTTTTATTATTGTAATTTAAGCTTCTCTCCAACTCCAAATAATTTCATCATACTTTCAAGTTAAAATTAGAAGAACATGATTTATAACTAATGGTATTGCACAGTTTTCCTACATGCGTACCAAAACCTGAGCAGCAAAAAAAAAAAATGATGTTTAGATTGTTAAATAAGAAATATGCAAAAAAAAAACAAAAAAAAAACAAAGAAACTGTGAACTCAAAACTAGGGTTGCACCAATGTCTTCCCTTTATGACAAGTCGTGGAATCAGTTTTTGAAGATAAAAAGTGCTACCCAGATGTAAGATGTTAATTTAGATAGCTCTAACAGAACCTTGAACATTTTGATCAAAATTGTATCAGATAATAAATTCTTAAATATCTAGGTTATCCTACTTCACAAATCGACTAATGAGTATAAAAAATTTAAAAAAACACAACCACCATCAATGAGTTGAGCTCATCATCAACATGAGTTAACCAATCATGAACCTAAAATGGAAACCTGTTAACAATCTATTACTCTAGCTAAGATGAATTCAAAGAACTCAAAATTAACTGTTGTATTTGTATTTCGATATGGACCTAGTGAAGAGGCCCATGAAGAGAAAGATACTTTCCACAACTATTTACAAACCAGATTTGAAGAGATGACCTTCTCCACTTGATTGGTGACTTCAAATGTAGAAAGGCTGATAAATCTGTTTTCTGAAAATTTTGCTAATCAGTGCAACCCTCTCAGAATCCAATTTCAAATTAAACAATAAAACATGATGCAATCAACAAAACAGTCAATAAATATTGTTATAGTTCCAGAATTTGCATACAAGTTTTTTATAATATGGACAGCTAGAATGTAGTAAAGACATAATTAGATGGTTTCTATTCCGACCACTTTAACTTTTATGGTTTTTTATTATTTTCACAGTACCATTACAGTATAAACAGCTTTGAATGGGCAGTATTATAATTAACCTTAAATAAAAAAATACACTGTGCACCAAAGTTAACTTTTTAATGTATGCCAAATTAAATGTGATAGTGACGAATATAAATTTTAGCCCATAACGATAACTGTTGCATGTCACATAAATGTACAGCTGAGTCATAAGGAGTCAACGGGTTAAGATCCATACAGACATATTTAATTACCGGTACTTGATTTATTCAACAAAACTTGTTAAAAATTATTATATCAATCCATATGATCATTAATGCACACTAAATTTCTACCTTTGATCCAGCTTCACAGAGCACATATATGTGACAACCAAGCATAGTAGGGATACACACAAAGACAAGAAGTAATGCTGAATATAAACATTTGTGTAATGAAAAACTCATAATATACCAAAACTTGATATTGAAATTAAAAGTGGTAAAAAAAGAAAGGCAACAACACTTACTTCTTGATAATCAAAACTTAAAAAACTGGTAACTCTCTGTAGGGTAAAATTATTAGATATAACATAAAGGAAATTGTTTAATTACAATGAACACTATGTTACTAATAACGATTATTATTTCCTCTCACTGACTTGTATTTTGTAATGTATGGGGATGACAACATGATGCAAGATGGTGAATTTTAAAAATAAGTTGAATTATTGACATCATTTGGAGCATATGGTACCAATTTTTGGGACACAAGGGAAGGCCTCTTAAAACTTATGGCCCAGTGAGCAAAGGTCGCAGATCCATTATTGTTTTTATAACTTTTTAATTCTGGTACAGATAATAATATCCACACACTCAAAGTGGTACCAGGCATCCTACAAGTCACATTGGACCCAGTTTAGGCTAAAACTTGAGGATGTACATTCTTCTCATCGTTTGTTTTTTAAGATTGATAACTGGATGTTGATTTTTACTGAACGATAATCAAATTATTTTTTATAGATTCTTTGAAGTTGAAGACTAATTTTTTTTCATTATAGAATATTTTTTACTATTTTTTTATAATAAAATACTTAAAATTATAAACATACAGTAGTACAGTGTACTTGTTAATACCAGAACTGGTTGCACTGTAACTCCCAATATACTAATATAGTCTAAGAATAGTAGTCTACCATCTCAAAATCGTATAATACCATATTGTAATAGTAAATAAATAAACATATAGTATGTCTAATGAATGTCACTTCTCATATATATATATATAGATATATATATATATATATATATATATATATATATATAAATATATATTGTGTATATTTAATGTCTCTTATTATATATATATATATATATATATATATATATATATATATATATATATATATATATATATACAGAGCACATTATTGCAAATAAAAATGTGCTATCATTTTCCACTTTGAAAGACGAAAATGTGGTGGGGGAGCGGAAATTGAGGATGCCTGCCGAAGTCACCCGAACAAAAGTGGGGTTGGGGAGGAGGCTGAGCCCCCTGCCCAGAATTTTTTATAAATTCAAACATAATTTTTTATAAATTCAAACATAATTTTTTATAAATTCAAACAGAATTTTTTATAAATTCAAACAGAATTTTTTATAAATTCAAAATGCAGGCATACCTGAATATAGTTTAGCTTTGTTTACATTAATCCTTTTTATTTTAGTAGTTAATAAAAAGTAATTTGTGAAAAAAAATTTATTACTGTATATACTCGCATATAGGCCGAATTTAGAACTATAAAATACAATGCTGAAACCAGAGGGTCTGCTTATATGTGCATAAAACAAAATGGACACAAGGACAGACACTAATGCCAATTTTCCAGCCACACATTTCCATCCCTATCTGACTCTTTATTTGGTTGTGTGTACAGAGTACTAATATATATATACAGATATTATTATAGAAAACAATGTGGAAAGAGCATAACAGGTTTTTGTGTCATTCCAAAAGGTTAACAAACTGGTATGTAACATAAAAGTAAGCATTTAACACCTTTACAGTAAAAAATTTCTATGAACCAAAAATATGGAGTAAAATTAGACAATTGTATGGTCGGCTTTTACACAGGTTTTTGCAAAAACTGGCCATTTTAAAGCAGTTTTAGGGGGTCGGCTTATATGCGATATAGGCTTTTATGAGAGTATATATGGTACTTATTTCAATATATCAGTCCAAAATAGGGGCAGGTACATCGAAATGGTGCTTACTGCCCACAAAAAATTATGTATATATAATATAATATGAATTATACAAATGTTTGTTTATGCCACAAATTAAAATAATTGCTCTTTGAATTTGAATGAATAAATAAGTTCATTTGTGATACATCCAGTGCGCCACAATATTTAACATGGCCGGTCACGTACCAAAATGTGTTAGTGTTATCAAAATTGAAAATGGAACAGTTCTAGTTCTAAACAATAAATGAATAAATCCATTGCCACCATTGATTGTATAAAATATCATGTTGATATGACCTTCCTCAGTAGAAGAGTTAAGAATGCAAATAAAAAACTTAAAACTAATAACCAGTTTAAATTGCACCAATTGCTAGCTATTTTGAGGGGAAAAATATATTAATCAGTCTAAGTGTTTTGTATATGAATATGTTAATTATTAACATATCTTTAAAAAACAACAAAACACTTAAAAATAGAAGGCTTAGACTTAGACTAAGACCGATTAGTCAAGATGGTTAGGCTAGGCAAGAGGGTTAGAGGGCCTATAATGCCTATAGTAAATAAAAGATAATAATATAATAAATAAAGTTTTGAAAAATATGAATAAACAAAACAGTTTTTCAATACAAATAAACACAAAAAAGGCAAGATAATAAATTAGGTATCGTTAGAACGGTACTCTCAGGCTGAGAGCACTCTGACTCTAACAATCCTATAGCCTAGTATAGCCTATAGTAAGGCAAGGCTAGGCCTACATGTAAATTGCAATAGCAGTGTGAACTTAGTTCATTCAAGTGTTTAAGTTAACAAACAATTCGTACAAGGAAGTGTTTTCCTCAGGACTACTCATTTACTGTTTATTTTTCATTTTCATTTACTATTTACTTTCCGGACTGAGTCAACCGAGTAGTCGCTAAAGTCCGCTAAAACTACGAGTAGTGTAGTAAGCTTCCCTACCTGAGTAACTATTCCCTTATCTTCATCACCATCGTCTCCACTTAAAGCCTTTTTAAGTTTATCCATGCTGCTGTACATGCAAAACTGTAAGGTTCTGGAATCAGATGACTCAGTTACGCATGCAAAGTAATTTGTCAACAATCAACTTAGTTAGATGATTTGAAAACGGAAGTACCACCTTCGATACTGATATAGATTACTTGTTGATGACAAAATGTATTTCTGTTATTATAAACAAAATTTTTAGGGCCACCAGTAAACAACCCCCCCCCCCCCCCCTTAAATGGTGAAGAGGCTACTTTTTTTTCTATGAGACACAGACAGTTTTAGCAATATATTACGATAGGAAATTTGCAATAGAAAAAGTTTGTTATAATGTCAGTTAAATACCATAAGGAAATACATAGTAATGAGATGGTCACCAGCTACAATTAAATATTTGCCATTGTTTGCAAACTTATGTTTTCCCCTGTGGAAGAGTAAGAAAAAAAAAATTGTAAATTAAGTCCAACATTATTTTATTGCCATCCCACCAAAATGATTGTAGGTCCACAAACTTCAAACAAGCAAACATAAGAAAGGCTACTGCATTCTCCACTTTAGTAATCTATAGCCTGCTATAGGTATGAGAGAGAGAGAGAGAGAGAGAGAGAGAGAGAGAGAGAGAGAGAGAGAGAGAGAGAGAGAGAGAGAGAGAGAGAGAGAGAGAGAGAGCGCGAGAGAGAGAGAGAGAGAGAGAGAGTAGAGAGAGGGGGAGAGAGAGAGAGGGGGGAGAGAGAGATAGAGAGAGAGAGAGGGAGAGAGTGAGAGAGAGAGAGGGGGAGAGAGAGAGAGGGGGGAGAGAGAGAGAGAGAGGGGGAGAGAGAGAGAGAGAGAGAGGGGGGGAGAGAGAGAGAGAGAGAGAGAGAGAGAGAGAGAGAGAGAGAGAGAGAGAGAATGCATTCAGGTTAGGCAGAAGGAAATATGTGAACAAAGTTTTTGCTTTTTGTTTATTTATTTTTTCCTCCTTATTTGAAAGCCCACGATCAATTTATTGATCATTTTGGCTCCATATTTGAATTTCAGAGTTTGTCTTCTCTTAGATGAGTTGCCGTCCAAGGCTGAGTCCCATCCACCCAGGGTGCTTTTTTTAATGGTGGCTTTGGTTGGAATTGAACTCCAGACCACTAGCTTTTTGTTTTGAGTCAGTATATGGTACATGCAATTATTTAGGAAACTCTTGCATTCACCCCTAGTCCAAAACTTTAACAATATATTAGCACTTTTATTTACTCATCAGCTTCACAAGGAAGCATAAGAGCGATCTTGATTTATTATGAAATTCATCTTGCAAGCAACATTATATGTAGAAGTAGTAGCAAACTCCACATTTAAGCACCATTACTTTTACTCACATATTCCAACACATAAGACCCACTTTGACATGATTGCTTCAAAATGAGAACCCATTCTGTCACACATGCGTATGACAACCAGCATCTAGGTGACTGACAGCCATGTCCAGTCTTAGCCCTTCTTTGAGCACTCATCAGATTTGGGTACTTTAAAAAAGTATCTAGACGTCAGCAGTGGGGTTCACCCCCCCCCCCACACTGTTAAGTCTATCCTGTAATGTGACATCCTATAAATTATCTATATCCCATCACCCTACAAGCAGCCTTGGTTAAAGAGTATAAGGACATATTTCTTTCATATCTTTTCTTAGAATGTGCAGTGAACCTGGCACACCACCATAGCACGGGGCTGTCACAAAAGACTGGGTCGGGGTACAGGACAGAGCTCCATTGTTGTTAAGGTAACTTATAGGATGGAAGGAAACTGCTGTTAATGGGGTTAAGTTAAGGTTAATAGACTCTCACATCTTGAGATAGAAGGCATTGTTTCTTTCGATAATATCATGTTTCGGGCTTTCCTGACTTCGCATGATCGCTTTTGGGTTAACGACGCGAAATCATAATTGACTGGAAATTAGGGGCAGCGATGTGGTAATTGAGAGCATTCCTGGGCCGCCTCTGGAGTTAGAGAATGGCATATAAGGCAGGTCTTCAAGATAGGGGGTTAGTTGACGAAGAGAGAAAAGAGCTACAACTACAAGAGAGTTGAGGAAGAGAGAAAGGAGCCACGGGAGAGTTGAGCTGTTGCTAGGGAAAAGTTTCAAGAGATCAGTAGACGAGTTGACTAGACGAGACAGGTCAGAAAGTCATAGCCTTAGAGATAGACAGTTGACAGCGGCACCAACAGAAGAACTTGTATTTAGAAATGAATACATTCTCTTATCATCTGGACACCTGGAGTTGGAGTTTTTAGTTTTCGTTCTCGTTCAAGTCGTTGTGCTTTTGTTTGTCCCGACGCCTAGACACCCACCATATAAATCACAGAGAGGAGCGGTCCTGTACTGACCACTTCTACATCAACACAGTTTGTGATAAGTCAGGACCGGAGCCCTCCTCCGTAACAACCGTTCTGTGACAGGGGCACAGGCATTCACCACATATCATGCCCCCCATATCCTTGGCCATGTACTCCTCATAAGTGACCATGAACTCACCATTAATGACCATTTGTCATTTAATCCACACTAATGAACATGTATGTACTAAACTCACACCTTTCATGTACGTGAAACCAAATTGTCAATTGCAAAATCTATGTAAAATATTCTGTCAGTCCTCATAGATTGAAATTTCTCCATACCGGTACGGTAGGCCTACAATAAATGTAAATGTGATGAGTTTTTAGCGAACACCACGTTACACCTGACAAATGATATATGTATACAACCAATTGTAAAACATGTCATACAGAAAATATGGATCCAACATTTAAACCCATAAAAAGTAAGTTTCACAGATGAACAAGCATTGTGTGCAGAAGTAATTTCACACATGGAAAAGCATTGTGTACAGAAGTAATTTCACAGATAGACAAGCATTCTGTACAGAAGTAATTTCACAGATGGACAAGCATTGTGTACAGAAGTAATTTCACAGATAGACAAGCATTGTGTACAGAAGTAATTTCACAGATGGACAAGCATTGTGTACAGAAGTAATTTCACAGATAGACATGCAATGTGTACAGAAGTAATTTCACAGATAGACATGCAATGTGTACAGAAGTAATTTCACAGATAGACACGCATTGTGTACAGAAGTAATTTCACAGATAGACACGCATTGTGTACAGAAGTAATTTCACAGATAGACACGCATTGTGTACAGAAGTAATTTCACAGATAGACATGCAATGTGTACAGAAGTAATTTCACAGACAGACAGCAATGTGTACAGAAGTAATTTCACAGACAGACAGCAATGTGTACAGAAGTAATTTCACAGATAGACATGCAATGTGTACAGAAGTAATTTCACAGACAGACAGCAATGTGTACAGAAGTAATTTTACAGATAGACACGCATTGTGTACAGAAGTAATTTTACAGATAGACACGCATTGTGTACAGAAGTAATTTCACAGATAGACATGCAATGTGTACAGAAGTAATTTCACAGACAGACAGCACTGTGTACAGAATGACAAACAAAAGTAAACAAGAGTCAAAGGCGTGAACTTAAATTTTATATATTTATTTGACCTTGGCAAGTAGAAACAAATATCCAGGTTAGATTGGGGGGGTGCAGCAATACTCCAAACGGTTACATTACCAAATAAGAAATACAGGATAAACATTTCTTTAATAAAAATAGTAGTAATAATAGTAATATTAAAAATAGAATACAAGATTAGCTAGGATTAATCTTTACTATAAAATATATCATGAAAATTACCAGCACAATCTACCACTTATTGTTGATTCAAGATTATTTTCTCAACAATCAGAATGTTCACATGTAATACTGTAACAAATTTTAAAAAAAATAAATTGATACAAGAATTCTCACCCCCCCTCCACCCCTTCCATACCCACAATACAATGCTATTGAGGAGCACTACATGGAATAGTGTGGCCAATACAGATAAGGTTCAAAAATTGTAATGAAAAACAAAAATATTTCCTAGAGCCTTGGTTTCTTTCAGCTATGAATTAAGAAAAACAAAATGTATTTCTTAACAGTTGTAGGAATTAAAATGTCATTGCTTTGTGTTTCAGCTTGAATATTTAGGTTTTGATTCATTCCTTTTCAAGTACGTTTCACTAATAGCAATTTTTTATTTAATATTTTTGCATTGCACTGAATACTGAAGATGTTTTTTTAATGTAACTAAGAATTTGTATTTCAAAAATTATATCAACAGCAAAGTACAGTAAAATTTTACCTAGCAAGCAGAATTTATTTTAAATTTTTTAACATTGTTAAACTTTAAATTACAATGCCAATTTAATGGTCTGCAATATCTGAAACCATACCAATATTTATGTTCAATAACTCTTTTAATAACTATTTATATAAATAATTAATGACATAAAGAATTTTTAATGATAGAATTCATGGCATATCAGATCTATTTTTCAATAAATGAAAGGTAGATGGACAGGGGATTCGGCAATTGATCAACTCGTCATTGGTGGGAAAGTGTTTTGTTGACCAACACTTTTTTTATGACATGTCATCACCTTGGTGGGAGAGCTTTTTATTGAACACTTTCCTTTATGACATGTCATCACCTTGGTGGGAGAGTTTTTTTATTGAACACTTTCCTTTATGACATGTCATCACCTTGGTGGGAGAGTTTTTTATTGAACACTTTCCTTTATGACATGTCATCACCTTGGTGGGAGAGCTTTTTATTGAACACTTTCCTGAATGACATGTCACCATTGTGGTGGAGAAAAGCTGTTCATTGGCCAACACTTCCCTAGTTTAAACAACTAAAAAAAAAAAAACAGAAACCAAACACTAATGTTGAAAACATTTTAAAGGTAAACAAATATTTGTGTACAATGTTGTGACCATTGACATGATTGAAAACAGTTTCCGTTTAGTTTTTATTTTTACTAAAAGGGCGGGGAGTGGGGGGGTGTGTAAAGATTTTTGGTTAATGCTTTGTGACACTGAAAGATTATGAATTGGCTGCTATTGCATTGATAGGACAAAAACTATCTGAAAATTAATTTCTTTTAACCAATTTCTTTTTTCTTATCTTTAGGGAAATAGTAATTTTTAAAGGCTAGAAATGTTTTAAAGCCAAGAGCAAGGAAACAAGATAACGCATTCACTATGGTACTA